AGTGTGTGCCTGTCACATACCCTGTCAGCCCTCCCCTCCCTGGACCTGAAATCTCCATCAAGAAACATCAAGAGTCACCAAAAAGGGGTGGCAGGCACATGAACACCGCGAGAGGAATCTGGTATAAATGTTTGTGTGGATCAGGGCTTCATAGTTGTTCCAGCCGCCTCCTCTCTGGCCTCTCCCCATCGGTACATGACATGAGCCGGGAAATCCATGTTTGCATCTCCTGCCTGGCAGGTAATTCCTGTTCTCTGCAGTGAAACAAGAGCACTTGTGTTTTAACAGCTCCATCCTTTTAGCTTAATTCTCACATCACTCCAACCCGACAGCCTCCAGCGCCTGCTGCAAGCCACAGCCAGCAGCTACCGGCCCTGCCCTGCCCCACGAACAATACAACGGCAGCCCAGAGAGCTACAAAGAGCAGTCACTCCCCAAAATTACACGATTGACTTCAAAATCAAGAGGGTTTTTTTTTTTAAATCATAAAAAATGTTGGTTCTGCTTTCTTTGCTTTCTGGTTCCTCACCCTCCGAGTTCTCTTGCACTTGATTTCAAGCTTTTCTCTGCAGCCCCAAGGGCGAACACTTCCTTTCTCCGAAAGTAAAATGGAGCGCACTGTGAAGAGCTTCAAAAGGATCTCACAAAATGAGGTGATTGGTCAACAAAATGGCAGATGAATTTGAATGTTGATAAATGCAGAGTAATGCCCATTGGAGAACATCATCCCAACTATACGTATAAAACGAGGGGACTAAATTAACTGTGACCACTCAAGAGAGCGATCTCATGGTGACTGTGGATAGGTCTCTGAAAACATCCAGGACACGACTAAAGTGCAAATGAAGCGCAGATTTAAATATCCCGTGTTTCTTTTGCATATTCGTGTTCGAGCGCTTTTTCGAAAAAGGGTTTTTCTAAAGTGAAAGTGCAGTCCAGCAACCCCTTTTTCAAAAGAACCTGTACTCCTGAAAAAACGAGTAGGGGTTCTTTCGAAAAAGGGGTTTGTTTTGAAAGAGCCACATCTAAACTGCACTTTTACTTTTGAAAAACCCTTTTTCGAAAAAGTGCTCGGATGTGAATATGGAAATGAAGCGCCGATTGCTCTCCAAGGCAACACGTATTTCCACTGGGCTCGATGGAAAATAAAAGTGGTTTTATTAAGCACAAACAATAGGATTGAAGTGGTTGCAAGTGAAAACAGGCAGAGCAAAGTGAATTACAAATTTAAAATAACAAAACCCGCACAGGAAGTTCTAACACACACTCAGGCTTACTGTAACCTCACCCTAAAACTGTTCTTATTTGGGCTAACCCTGCAAGCCAGGGAAGATCATTTTTCTCTTGGGAGTCACATGCCAGCCAAACACTCAGGGACAGCAGCTTAATTTTCTATTATCTGAAAACTTTGGTACAACACAATGTGCCATGTTCTTCCCGATCTCTTATGAGTGTGTAAAACAGCATCAGTCTCAGTACCAATTCTTAAGGTGGATCCTGATATTTTCTTCTCCCCACTCTGAAAACAGACCATTTATTCCTACCTTTTGTTTCCTATCTTTTGACCAGGTACCAATCCAGAAGAAGCCCTTCCCTTTTATCCCATGACAGCTCACTGCGCTTAAGAGCCTTTGGTGAGGGATCTTGTCAGAGGCTTTCTTAAAATCTAAGTACCCTATCACTACCAGGTCATCCTGGTCCACATGGTGGTTGATCCCCTTCAAAGAATTCTAATAGATTGGTGTGACAGGATTTCCCTTTAAATAAAGTCATGCTGACTCTTCCCCAGCTTGTTATGTCCTTCTATCTCTGATAATCAATGTGCAGTACTTGGTACTTTGTATTCTGATCTGATTAATTCATTAATAAGACACATTACCAGATAAACCAATGCAGGTGTAGCTCCTTGCTGTAGAAGTGCAATGTACTCAGTTTATCCACAGGCTTAGTGAGTATTATAGATGGTTACTGCAGATTTTCCCCTTCAGACACCTCAAATCCGCAATTGCCAAACAATTGCCCTCTTGCCAGACACTGGAATGGAGTCCAGGCAGGTCTCGCTTTCTCTCTTACAGCCTTACCCTTAAGATAACACAAGTGGACTCTTTGGCACAGACTGCTGTTCACGAAGCTCTGGCAGGCTCGTGAGAATTGGCAGAACTGTCAATAATGGAGATGCACTAGAAACATGCAATCAAGTGAGCCACGCAGAGGGAGCACACCTAGAACACTGCTCAGTCCAGACATGGGGCCAAATTCTGACTCCTTCATGCAGCAACTTCTGATCCACTGAGGTTGTGCACTAAGGGTGAGTTTAGCCTATGCGTTTATTTTTCATTTTATGCAGCCAAGAGAAAACAGAGGACACATGGATAATAACTCTGCTCCCACAGGGACTGCACAGTCAAGTAGATGATGTTCGTTCTAATTTTACCAATGCTCTGCAGTGAGAATCAACATAGAAAAATACATGAACCACTTCCTGAAAGGTGCGAGCGACTGTTGTCTCTTTGGCTCCCTCGTATGGAGTCCCCCAGACAAGACAGCCAGTTGTTCTTTTTTCTGGGTCTTTTTCCTTCTCTTTTCCAAATACACAGCACCTTAGCTCAGTAGAGTCCTTTGCTTGCACGCAGCCTGCTGCTCCAGTTTCTCCAGGCAGTTTCTCCTCCCTGTTATGATCTGCGGCCCTTTTCATTGCCGTTAAGTTGAGCAGAAAATACCTCTGGTTTCAGAACTGGAAACTCCAAGGCTTCAACCAGCGGACAGTTGACAAGCCTTTTTCCTAAACTGCTGCCAATGTCAGAAAGATTAATTCCAACTCAGTTCTGTGATTTGTTTTAACTTTTGTTTCCCCCATTTTGCAATGTGCGGTCAATCGAATAACAAATAATCACGGTGTATTGATTTCAATCAAGGATTTAAATCTCCAAAAAAAATTGATTTAAATCACGTTACCCAAAAAATCAGCTCAGACTGACTGTGCTTAAAGTGCACTTAATTTTGGTACACTAATGAGTCCAGTGGCAGCTAAGAGACAGCTTTATTAGGGCATAAGCTTTCATGGGGGAAAACCCACTTCATCAGGTGAACTGGAGTGGAAGTTACAGAGGGAGGGGGATATATAAGGACAACAAAGGAAAGAAGTGACTTGTGTTAATGAAGCTAATCATCTCAGGGTGGAAGAGGTTCATTCACAGCGTTGATGTGGAGATGTGGCTATCAAGAGAGGGGAAACTGCCTTTGTAGTGCACTAACCAGTTAAGGCAAAATGCAGGACAATGTAGCACTTTAAAGACTAACAAGATGGTTTATTAGATGATGAGCTTTCGTGGGCCAGACCCACTTCCTCAGATCAAATAGTGGAAGAAAGTAGTCACAACCATATATACCAAAGGATACAATTTAAAAAAAATGAACAAATATGAAAAGGACAAATCACATTGCAGAACAGAAGGGGGATGCGGGGGGGTGGGAAGGGGGAGGAAGGAAGGTAAGTGTCTGTGAATTGCTGATATTAAAGGTAGGGAGAGTGGGATGTTTGTGAGTTAATGGTATTACAGGTGATAATTGGGGAAACTGTCTTGGTAATGGGTGAGAAAGTTCAAAGACTTGTTAAGTCCTTGTTGGTAAGTGTCGAATTTTAACATGAATGACAGTTCAGAGGATTCCCTTTCAAGTGCAGATGTAAAAGGTCTTTGTAGCAGAATGCAGGTGGCTAAGTCATTTAGAGAGTGTCCTTTCTGGTTAAAGTGGCAAGAAACTGTTTTCTCTTTGTGATCTTGTCTGATATCTGTTTTGTGGGCATTAATCCTTTGGCGAAGTGTCTGAGATGTTTGTCCAATGTACATAGCAGACGGACACTTTCGGCACATGATAGCGTAGATTATATTTCTGGATGCGCAGGGATATGTGTTCTTGATCTTATAACTCACTTGGTTGGGTCCAATAATGGTATCAGCAGAATGAATATGTGGACAAAGCTGGCAACGGGGTTTGTTGCAAGGGAAGGTACCAGGGTTGGTATTAGTGTGGTATGTCCTGTGGTGGTTGGTAAGAATCATCTTGAGGTTAGGTGGTTGTCTATAGGAGACTATGGGTCTGTCTCCCAGAGCCTCTTTGAGTATGGTATCCTGTTCCAATATAGGCTGTAAGATCTTTACTCAGTGCTAAGTGGATAGTATTGAATTTACAAAGGAATTTGAATGCAGCTGTCTCCCTTTGTCATAGGGTTGTAAAATTCTTTTGCAGAAAGAGGCTTCTTTCAAATCCATAACTGACTGTCCAGGCTGGTTAAAATGCTCTGTTACAGTTTTTACATCACAGAGGTAGGTTCCCGTGTGGCTTAGCGGCTAGGGTGTTCACCTAAAGCTTGCTAGCGGGTGGGTTTTAGTCCCATCCTCGCCCTGGGAGAAAACTGACAGAACTAGAGCCAGCTCCAGCAGCAGAAATGCAGGATAAGGTCACCCTGAAAGTAGACTGGTGGGGTGGGTTCTCTGATCTGGGTCCAGTTATCTTTGAGGGGAGAGACTGTCTGGTTTGGCCATTATCCATTGCAGACAGCACATGAGAGGATGTGCAGGTGGATGAGTCTGTAATACTGTGGCTTATGTGGTTAGTCCTGCAATGGTGTTTCTTCTTTGGCCAGAGATGGCAATGGGGTACATAGCAGGGATAGTGTGACCTTACTGGAGTTCTGATGTGACCATGCAGAATATGATTGTGCCCACTGTTGTATGTTAGCCCCAAATTCTGTACAAATTGGTAAGTAAGGCATCTATTGAAAGCTGCTGATTCTCTTCATACTATTTGTGCGCATGTCTGATTGTTACTTTTAGAGTGATAAGCATTGGCAATTTTCTGACATTCCAAGTATTTGCTCCTGAGAGAGATCAACCGGCATCACCTGCCTATTGTAACAGGGTGGCTAGTCTATGAATCGAAGTACTTGACGGACAATGAACCATAAGTGTTGCCAATACACATCTGAAGAATTTTGCTGTGAACCTGCATTCAAGCATGTACGCCTTAGCTGCTTGCCAAAAAAGGACCCGGACAGGTGACTTAGTCATGTGAAAAACTGCATTTTGGAAGTTCCTGCACACAAGGAGAACAATGGAATTCCCTCCAGCTGGGCAAGGGTATAAAAAGGGGCCCAGAGTTTCCTCCATTTGTCGTCACTCCAGCTCATCAGGTCAGAAGCAGTTTTGCCATGAATTGGGCCTGGAAGGACTGATGCCCCCTCCTAGCACAGGATGTATTCCAGAGACTTATGAGACAGCAGACTTTCCACCTCGGCTATAAGCCTGCACCAGGAACTTTGCAACTGGCGTACGTATGTAACCTGATTTCTTTAAAGTTTACTCTCATCTTTGGTATGAAACTTTGGGGTACATCCTGCCAAAGACGGGAGCATCGATCTGGACTGCCAGAGCCCCCGCTCCTCCATCTGTGATCAATCCGGTTGGCCGTGGACCACGGACTGGTAAATATAACATCAACTGGTGGGACAGTGTGCGTGTGTGTGTCTGTATGTTTGTGTGTGTGTAAGCATATGCTAACTGCTTTGCCGTGGTATTCTCAATAAACAGGGCATGTTGCCTTTTGCCCCATAAAGTCCTCCGCCCCGCGTGTTATAAGCATAACAAAAGAACAGTTGCCATGAGTCAGCAATGAAATGAGGATCTTAGAATAAAAGACCTGAGGGACCCATGCTCAGAGAAAGGAATCACTTCCAGAAAGAAAGCCGCTAAGAGCGAACTGCAATCTTTGCTAATGGACAGAGATGCTGCAGAAGAAATCTCAGAGCGCAGGAGGTTTTGAAAAAAGCGGAGCTCGATTAGGAAGAAATATTTGCCGAGATTCATGTAAGGGAGAAGCAAAGGAACGCTGAGCTGGAGAGAGGAGCTGCTGAAAGAGAGAAAGAAGTCCAGGCCAGGCGAATGGAGCGACCAGCAGCAGAGGAGAGACTCAGCGAAGCTGAGCAGGGAGTTGCCAGACTAAACTCCAGATCAAGGGGGAAATGGGAAGAGACGGTATCCGCTTGGGAGTCGTGTGTCACTGTGTTGCTCTGTGCTTTGATGATGACATGGCAGAAATGTGCAATCCGGCTGATGTCATAACCCAGCCCCCAGAGGAGTCTGAATGCAACTCTGCTGTCCCCTGTGACTACCAGGGAGATATGAGAAGAAGGGGGTCGGGGGGAATTGACTCCGGGCAGTTGTCTGTGTAAAAAACGTTGCCTGCCCCTTTAAGGGCGACCATTTTGAACTCTGTTGTTCTCCGTGGCACACCTCTGACTACCTCACGGCACACTCGTGTGCCACAAAACACAGTTTAAGAAACACTGGCCTAAACTAAAGCCTTCCTCTGCAGCCAGACTGAAGAGCAGCAGCCATGAGCTGTAAACCCTGCAGTCACAGACTCACATTCCATGTAAATGAAAGACAGGACTATGCAACAAGGGACAAGATCAAGTTTGTCGTACTGCTGGACGGAGGCCTAGTAAAGCTTGTGGAAGAGAAACCTGCCCAGGAAGAACTCGATTTGTTGCAAATAGCTTTGTGGGATAAACCCCGGTGTGTGGAGACCAGCTGGAGCCAGGGACAGAGGAAAGACTGTCTTCAAGGGTTGGTCTGTGTGGAGCAGAAGCAGCTCGGCTGGGAAGGCAGAATTTCTCTCCAGTGCTTTGTGTGTGGAAGGGGCCTCTCAGCTCACCATAGCTGAGAATAACACAGCTGTCCCACAGGTTAACCCTAAAATGCTCGCCCGCCAATGGTATTGAGCCAAGGATGACAAAAAGAACGGTACATGTGCGCTTGCAATGGATTTGTTCTTGTTGCTGGTTTCCACTTTTGTAACCAATGTGCTGCTGCTACCCAGAACTGTAAACCTGCCCAATGCGCATGATCTTTTGGAAAAACCCTGGGACATGTTCAGAGTGGTACATAATGCCACACCGTACGGTAAGAGATCTAGTAATACTGATATTTCCCAGTTGTTGGTGCCTGTAACTTGTGTTGGAGCTTCTCACATGAGAGAGGGCATTCCACACTTAACGTGCTATATGAGCAGGGAAAATGAGGCACGCCGCCATCTTGCTTTCATGGCTAAATGCCGGGATTGCTACACTATGGAGAACATGAATATCTACATTAACTTGGTGTTTATTTGGTTCCAGACATTGGCCAGAGCTTGTAGAGAGAAATTAACTTTAGCTTTTGGCCGACTCACCTAAGAAATCATATATAGAAATCATGGTACAAAAGCAGATCAGATCCACTGTTGATCTGAGCAATTATTGTCCTGCATTTGTCACAGAGTTCAGTGATATTATGACGATCGTATTGAACCTTACAATGATGAACCCTGTTTTAGACAAACATGGTTTTCACAAACCTTTCCAGTCACACGCTGCTATTTCTGATACAGAATTAGAACCTGTAGCAACACAGAGCCAGGCGTGGGACAGCCCTGTGACACACGCAGCCATGCTACTGGCATCCCTTCCGGCATCACTCTGGCCGTGGTGGGGTGACATTCTTGGCTTCTCGGTGTGAACATGCAGAATATTGTTGTACCTGCCGTTGTAGGTTTGCCCAACGTTTTGTACAAAGTGGGTCAAGGGAGGTGTCTATTGAAAGCTGATACTTTGCTGGTTGTGTTTCTACTATTCATGTGCATGTCAGAGTCTTCTATTTAGAGTGATAAGTATTGGCCATGTTCTGACATTCTAAGTATTTGCTTCAGAGAGATATCAACAGGCTTCACCTGCCTATTGTAACAGGGTGGCTAGTTAAGTGAATCAAAGTACTTGACTGGCAATGAAACTTAACCTTTGCCAATACACATTTGAGGAATGTTGCTGTAAACATCAGCCTCTTCTTTCTTTAATAAACCTTTAGATGTTAGATTACAAAGAACTTGTCCAGGGTATGTCTCCACTTGCCCCTTAGTTCGGACTAAGGAGGCAAATGAAGCATACCAAAATTGCTAATGATGCACAGGATTTAAATATCCTGCGCTTGATTAGCATTTTCGTGGCCGGTCGCCATTTTAAAAAGTCAGTAGCCCGAATTACCACGCCGCGTGTAGACGCAGTATTCCGTTAGGAAAGGTTCCCTAAATTTAACTGTTTCTCCTCATGCAATGAGAAGTAACAGTTAAATCAAGGGAAGGGTTTTTTAATGAAAAACCGTGTCTACACGCGGCGCAGTAATTCGTGCTACCGGTTTTTTTAAATGACAACCGGACGCAAATATGCTAATCAATCATGGGATATTTAAATCCTGCGCTTCATTAGCAACTTCAGTATGCTTCGTTTGCCTCCCCAGTCCGAACTACCTGGCAAGTGTAGACATACCCCCAGCGTGCTCTTCTGGGTAAGCTCTGAGGTATAAATTGACCTGGGAACGGGGCTGGTCCTTTGGCATTGGAAGAACCTGTTGGGAGTTGGTGCGATTGGTTTTCATGACCTCTCATCCATGTAGGGTGCGGTGCTGGCTGAGACACAGGGAAAGCTGGAGTGTCTGAGGGGATTCTCAGTGCGGCAAACAGAAGTGCTCTGTGACTGGTTCAGTCGCGTTTTAGTGGAGGTCCCCCGCTCTTGGGCTGTAAGTAGCCCCATTTCCAGCATTCACCCTGATTTGACCCTCTCAGCAGTGCCCCCAGAACCCGTTCTATTACAATAGATAGGAGGATAGAGCTGTCATTGGGATGTGTGGCAAAGAGCTGTTCCCTGGGTGTTTCTGTGCTGTGATGTATGGCTGCTGGTATTTGCTTCAGATTGGAGGGAAAATTCTCAGCAGCAGCCACACAACACTCACCCAGGAACCTACTCCTGCAACAAAGCCCATTGCCAGTTCCCCAACATCAGGGGCTCATCCACTGGCACATCCTCTAATGTGATATGTGCAATCCTGTGCCAGCAATGCTCCTCTGCCATGAGTATTGGCCAGACCAGACTGTCTCTGCACCAAAAGATTAATGGACCCAAATCAGACATCAAGAATGGGAACACACACATACCTGTACCTCTCTATTACTATTAAACCTGTAGAGGAACATTTTAACCTGCCTGGACAGTCAATAATGGCTTTGAAAGTAGCCATCTTTCTACAAAACAATTTCAAAACCTTTCTCAATGGGAGACAGCTGAACTAAAGCTTCAGGGGGCAGCCAAGTGAGTCTGAACAGAATAAACTTAGAAAACAACAAATGGCCTGGTAGCACTTTATAGACGAACAGAACATGTAGATGGTATCAGGAACTTGCGTGGGCACAGCCCACTTCTTCAGATGACTGGGGTTTTGAGTTTAGGATGTGGATGTGATATACCTTGACTTTAGCAAGGCTTTTGATACGGTCTCCCACAATATTCTTGCCAGAAAGTTAAGGGAATATGGATTAGATAAATGGACAGTAAGATGGATAGAGAGATGGCTAGAAGACTGGGCCCAGCGGATAGTGATCAACGGCTGGATGTCAGGATGGCGGTCGGTTTCTAGCAGAGTGCCCCAAGGTTCGGTTCTAGGACCAGTTTTGCTCAATATCTTTATTAATGACCTGGATGAGGGGATGGATTGCACCCTCAGCAAGTTTGCGGATGACACTAAGCTGGGGGGAGAGGTAGATATGCTTGAGGGCAGACATAGGGTCCAGAGTGATTTAGACAAATTGGAGGATTGGGCCACAAGAAATCTGATGAGGTTCAACAAGGACAAGTGCAGAGTCCTGCACTTGGGACGGAAGAATCCCAAGCATTGTTACAGGCTGGGGACCAACCAGCTAAGTAGTAGTTCTGCAGAAAAGGACCTGGGGGTTACAGTGGATGAGAAGCTGGAACACTGAGAACAATTGATCACCATTCTCCTTATAACAGCCCTTAGCATATTTGAAGACTATTAGCACGTCCCTCCCAGTATTCTTTTCTCAAGACTAAGTATGCCCAGTTTTTTAAATCTTTCCTCATAGATCAGGTTAGTGCTGAATCAATTATGCTTAAAATTAAGTTTTGACGTTCAATGTTAAACCTGCTGAAATGCAGAGAACCTGCCATACTACTGTAATTTTGTGTTAATCTGGCAGTAGAGAAAATGTATGATTAGGGGGCTGGAGCACATGACCGATGAGGAGAGGCTGAAGGATTTGGATTTATTTAGTCTGCAGAAAAGAACAGTGAGGACGGATTTGATAGCAGCCTTCAACTTCCTGAAGGGAGGTTTCAAAGAGGATGGGAAGAGGCTGTTCTCAGTGGTGACCGATGGCAGAACAAGGAGCAATGGTCTCAAGTTGTGGTGGGAGAGGTCCAGGTTGGATATTAGGAAAAACTATTTCACTAGGAGGGTGGTGAAGCACTGAGATGGGTTCGCTAGGGAAGTAGTGGAGTCTCCTTCCCTAGAGGAGTTTAAATCTCGGCTTGACAAAGCCCTGGCCGGGTTGATTTAGTTGGAATTGGTCCTGCCTAGAGCAGGGAGCTGGACTTAATGACCTTCTTAGGTCTCTTCCAGCTCTATGGTTCTATGATTCTATGTGCAGACCCAAAATAAATAGGGAAGAAGGAAGATGGGGGAAGGAGAAAAAAGGAAGGGAGCGGGAAACAAGAAGCAGAGGGTATAAAATTATCAAAGGGAAAATCAAGTAGGCAGAACTGGCAATCTATAAGCACCTAAGGACTGGATAGTTAGAAGAAGCTAATATTTTTTTTCTTCCCTCCTCTCCCCTCTCTTCTCTTTATTTTGGTTCTGCACATCCTAAACTCAAAACTCCTGTTATCTGAGGAAGTGGGCTGTACCTACGAAAGCTCCTGATACCGTTTACATGTTTTGTTAATCTTTAAGGTGCTACCAGACCATTTCTTGTTTTTTAAGTGTAAGCTGAACTAACGTTCATTTGCAAATTCAGCACAATCAACTTAAAACTGAATAAGCATCTTAACTGGTTAACGCACTACAAAGGCAATTTCCCCCTCTTTTGATAGTCTCATCTCCACTTCAACTGCTGTGAATGAATCACTTCCATGCAGATTTGATTAACGCAAGTAACTTCTCTCTTTTGTTGTCCTTATAGGTAGCCTCCGCCTCTGAATCTTCCACTCCGATTCATCTGACGAAGTGAATTTTACCCATGGACACTTATGCCCTATGAAGTCTGTTGGTCTCTAGGGTCACGTCTACACAGCAAGGCTAAAGTCAGAATCAGCCACACAACTTGAGTAACATCAATTGCGTAGCTTAAGTTGCAATAGCTTATTTCGGATTTTGGCACTCTCTACACAGCAGGAAGTCCGAATTAGAGCACTCTTCCTCCAACTTCCCTTACTCCTCGTAAAGATAGGGTTGCAGGAGTTGGAGTAAGATGTCCTCCAGCTCGACATTATTTCAACATTATGTCAAAATAACTGTTTGCTGTTTGTTGTGTAGACACAGACTAAGTTATTTCAGAACATCAGCTTTTCTGCAATAATGCTGCTGTGTAGATACAGCGTAAATTGCCACAGGACTCCTCCTTGCTTTTGTAAATACAGACTAACCCAGCTAACACCCTCTGAATTATTTTTGGAGTAAAACCCATTGAATTCATCGGCTCTTCTCTTTCTTGAGAAAACGAGTATAGAATGGGGTTCCCTTTGGAGAGCTGAGTTCTGCAGAAGTAAAACAAGGAATAGACTCATGGCATCACTATTGTGGTCTGTAGCCAACATGATCTTAAATAAGGAGTCTGTCTTATGTAATATAACATATGAAAACGACATACGGTGGCAACTGGCAACTGTAGATTTCTCTTACTGCAGCTTTCTGCATTGTGTAGTTGGAGGAGCGATTCTAAATGTAGTTCACTAATTGAACAAGCCATAGGGATTTCAGAAGCTAAAACTTTTTTTCTATCAACACCCAACAGAGCAAACAGCTTGGGAATTTACTCGTCAAATCATATTTATACGAAACAGCAGAGAGAGGGTGCTTTGCAAAGTGAATCTGCCCAACCTGTGTGTCTTTGCATGTGTTCCCGCAGTCTGCTGAGAAACGGAAATTGTAAGGCGAGAACTCTCAAGAAGAAGAGCAGGTAGTTAAACAGGGCAGATTAGAGCCGTTCATTCCCGTTTTATGAGGTTGTAAGTGTATGTCCAGCATGTTAGTGATGAGATGTAATTGTAACTGTTACTTTGAAAACACAAAATTTAGTATTTTATCAATGATTTTAAAAAACAAAAAAATACGATTTAAATTAAAAAACTGATTTTTAATATATTTTTTTAATCATTGCTTTGTGTCCACCCTGGAAATTATCCAAAGCAATGACACCATTTGAAATCCTGTCTTGTCTCCCAGCGGTAATGAAAGATTCACTGACACATTGTTTGTTTTTGTCAAGATTCGTCTGTCCAAAGAGAAGCAAGAATGTTGAAGGGGATCAAAATAGGGCTCGCACTCACTTTTGTCTTTGTCCTGGCCTTTGTCTATAAACGTTTCCTGCCGCGTGGCCACAGCTTCTTTTGGACGCCGAGTCCTGAGCTCTTCGCGACACAAAAGGATGATGTGAACCAGACCAGCGGCATCATCTTTGTGGAGACCACATACCGCTTGCAGATTCCTCCGTTGGCTTCATGTTCTGTGGAATCTGCTGCCAGGGCCTACCCTGACACACATGCTGTTTTCTGGATGATGTTTCTCAAGTGTTCCTGACAGAGAGTTCTTAGTTTCCTTTAAAGTGTGTTAAATATACACAACACTCCACCACTCAACAGATGATGAGACCTTCCAAGGAAAGGTCATATCTCTCCACTGCCAAAAAACAAATACTGATTTTCAATTTAAGGTTAC